ACACACACACACACACACACACACACACACACACACACACACACACACACACACACACACAATGTTTTCCTCGTGGCATATGAGAGCAGAGCCTCTTCCGATGAGCAAATCTCATCAGAGGAAGTGGCAAACTCACACCAAGCAACAGATGGTGCTTTTGTCACTTGTGGATCACACATGTACACATTTGGCTGCTTCTAATTGCTTGGATTGCAGTGAATGGAGGGGATTACATGGCACAAAAGCTGTGAACGCAACTGCTTGAATTCTCCTGATGTCACAAACATTTCTCTGCTAGCCGTTGGGTTGAGCTGACGTGAGCCAGTAGATTAAGAGCAACTGGGATTATCTAGAGCAGTGGTTTCCCAAACCTTAGGTCCCCAGATGTTCTTGGGCTGCAGCTCCCAGTAGCCTTCACCACTAGCTGTGTTGGCCTGGATTTCTGGGAATCGTAGTCCAAGAACATCTGGGGACTTAAAGTTGGGAGCCACTGATCTGGAGAATGAGTATGGACAAGAAACGTTAGAAATCGGAGTGCCTAGAAATTTGGGCATAGAAGTAAGTATCATTCAGAAGAATGAGGGGATGTGGAAATGTGGAAGGTAATAAGGGTGTGCTATTTGAGGTTTGGGTTTTTTTTGGATTCCAGCTTCCAGAATTCTTCAATAATTCCTCAAGCAGAATTCTGGAAGCTTCAGCTCACGAACACACAACACTTCTTCTTTGTGGCCTCTGTGAATTACACCCTGGGCACTTCGCACCTGCTCAGAGCCTCATTGGAAGATTCTAGAGCTTTTGTGGTAGCAATGAATACATTAGAATGTGCCCCTCACCACCCGTATAAGTACCTTGGCGCCAAGCATCCCCTTTCAGTTTCTTTCAACCGCTGCATTGAGAGCCTCATAATTCTGCTTCTGTGAGTAAAAGAGAAAGAGAGCTTATTCTCAATTCCTTCCTGTTATCAATCTTTTTCTTTTAAACTACTAGATCAAACTCTTTATCGTCAGAGATTTTTCCTTTCCCCTCGCTCGGCCTCTGGCCACAGCAAACCCCCGCCCTCCAATCATCGGTTTTTCTCCTCAATTATTTTCTCCTATTCATGGCCCCTTTGGGCCCGTTTAAGCACTGTGTTGTCTGTGATAATAAGATCCCACTTTTCAACGGACACGCTAAGTGCCTTTTCTGCTTGGGAGAACAACATCAAACTTCCTCCTGTACCCATTGCAAAAATTGTAAGCGCTGAGTTCTTCGATTGCAAAAATGTGGAGTTCAGCAGCCCTGTTTGCTGCTCAGAATAGCAAGAGATACCTTCACAGTCCTCCCCTTTGTGATCTTCCCACTAGGTTGCCAACCCAGATGGAGACTTGCGACTTACAGTTTTGAATTCTTCTGTGCTTGAGCGGCCCCGAGCCTTGACATTGGTCCCCAAAGAAGGGTAAGTGGGGAATGCTAATAACTTTAGGTCTAATTCTGTTGATATCTGGGAAGACAAGGAAATCATATTTGCCCACTTGGCTGCTTCAACACATCATTGGCTCTCTTGCCTTGTCATCAGCAAGGACACCAGCATTGCTTGACTTCTAAGAGTTGCCTCATACCTGATGCTTTGGGTGACAGGCAATACATTTATGCCCTTTCTTGGTCTGTCTCTGTGTTCACTCTTTCAAGTAGCCCACTCAATACGGAGGTTACTGGTGTAATGAACAGGTGGCTCATGATGCAAGGGCTGTCTCTGGATTTTCCCTTCCCAGGTTAATGTTTTGGACTGACTGGGGAGATTCCAGGCCTGGGATCTACCGCAGCGAAATGGATGGCTCTTCCCCAGCATGCATTGTTGCTGAGGGGGTGAGGTGGCCCAATGGCATTTCTGTGGACGATCACTGGATCTACTGGACAGAGGCCTACATGGACAGGATTGAGCGCGTTGACTTCAGTGGCCTGCAGAGATCGGTGATCCTGGACAGTCTGCCCCACCCCTACGCCATTGCTGTTTTTAAGGTACTTGGGGGATAATACCAGTATGTCTCTGTCCACCAGAGATGTTTCTCTCTGAAGTCAAAGGCTTGTCCCAGGTACACTAGACTCACTGAGTCAACTGCTGAGTGGTAAGTCAGCACTTGTGTAAATCCTATCGATTCATTGGGTCTGCTCTGGAGAAAGCCCATTGGCCTTTCTCCACCTTATTGCCAAGGTGATGTCCTTGGCAATAACTAAGAAGGTCCCAATGTACTTGCTGTTGCAATACAGGGACAGATGTTCAGTACACACTTCACAGAACCTCCTCTCTCGTTTCCAAGCCTGTTGCTCTGGAGCTTGGACTCTGCCTTCCCTGGCAAGGTCTAAGAGCTGTTTATTAAGTCACGGAGTGAGCATGTGGTGCGGCTGGCAAAGAAGCTGTGTTTGCGCATGTATGTATGTCAGCGCCTAGGTTAGGAAGGCACACTAAATCAAGGACTTGAGCAGGAGGACATGGTGCAATAGCTGAGCAGTTTTATAGCTCCCAGTCCAGCTGTCCCTGCTCTGTCACTTCCTGAAGTTCAAAGCAACCGTTTACCTAGAAACTGTGTTCTCTTGTGGTTTCTGCAGAGGGACTTGGCAATGGAAAACCCTATGGTAACCTGGGTGTCAGTTTAAATTCATTGCTGCTTCTTTGCCAAACTATAAATGGTTGGAAATGTATATTAACCTGTAACATACCAGCCTTTTAAAAAAGGGCATGCAGCATCAGCTTGGGGAAGTGTTGGTCCAAATTCAGAATACAGCATTGCACTGACTCGTAGTTGTCCTCTAAAGCAGTGGTCCCCAACCTTGGGCCTCCAGATGTTCCTGGACCTCAACCCCCAGAAATCCTGGCCAGCAGAGGTGGTGGTGAAGGCTTCTGGGAGTTGTAGTCCAAGAACATCTGGAGGCCCAAGGTTGGGGACCACTGCTCTAAAGCAATGGTCCCCAACCTTGGGTAAGCCAGGCATTCTTGGACTACAACTCCCAAAATCCTCGGCCAGCACAGGTGGTGAAGCCTTCTGGGAAATGCAGTCCAAGAACTTCTGGGTTACTCAAGGTTGAGAACCATTGATCTAAACAACTTTTTCTAGCTCTGGTTTAGAAGGAGGTAAGGTTGATTCCCCCTGGAAGGTAAGCCAGTTATAGTTGGAAATCTTCTGTGGATGTTTAATAGGGGTCGCCTCGCATCCCAAGCAGAATCTTTGTTAAGACTGCTTTGTGGAGGAAAGAGTTAAGCTGTTCCCCCCATGTCTGTTCTGATGTTCTCAACCATCTTCTGCCTCTTCCTGGTGATACTGTTTTCATTTTAAAAACACTGCAATCTTACAGGAGTGTTCTGTCATCCCTGGTTTTGCCTTCTGCTCCTGGGGGTTATTTTGAATATTCTGGATCTGGGCTGCATGACCTCTTGAGTTAGCGCAGGGCTCCGAATTTTGCAGACGCCCCAGGGAACATACCTTTCAGAATGAGGGGAGGGGCTTGAAAGATTGGGGTGGATTTTGAATGCAAAACCCCTCCCATGTGTGCACACTAAAACCAGCAGCAATGAGATTTTTTTTCTGTTTACTGAGCAGAAAGAGGAAATGGCATTGCTTGTCCAGGCTAGCCCTGACAGGGAAATATTGGTGAATCCTTTGGAAAGAAATTCTGGCCGGGGTTGTCCACGAAAGTCCCTTTTCCAAATTCGGAGTTTGACCTTCCCAGACGAATCCCACGTCCTTCTCGCCTGGACCAACTTGTTTACAAATCTTTTCCAGGATGGATGAAATCAGGGCGAGGTGATTTGTTTCACATGGAGAGAACTCGGTGTTTTTGTCAGTCAGCCAGAAAGCCTTTTTCCCCCAGTCAGCCGGTTTCCAATCCCCCTCTGGCCATTTTACATCTAAATCCAGGTTACAGGGTTGCCCCTAGCAACCTAAGATGGAGGAGATCTCCTTCTGGACAGGATGTCCTTGAAGGTCGATTGGGAACATAACCAGGAAGAGATGAGCTAGTTTTTCAGAACTTCAAAGTGTTCTTATCAAACTGGATTTTTGTTTTGTATTTTTAGTGGCTGCTGAAAGCCTCAAAATCTTGATTTTCCCCCATCCATGGGGGAGGGCGTTTTGCATGATCAGGGCTGTACAGATTAAGTCCAGTTTCATCCATTGCCTGGAGGGGAAGCCTCTTCCCCTCTCTGCTTCTGTAATGGCAAGAAGGGAAATGCTTTCTCCATTTGCTTCTTAACAGAAAGATGCCTTAAGGCTGTTGGCTCAGATATGCTCCACTTTGACTTGGGAGCATATCTCTTAAGCAGCCTTCCTTAACCACATGTCCTCTAGATGTTTTCGAGTTCAGATCCCACCCTGGTGAGTGATCAGGGATACTGGGTGATGTTGCTGAAAGATCTGGAGATCACCAGATGGGGGGAAAAGGCTGAGGTCGCTGGTAAAACTATGAGTAATAGATCAGGGCCCCTGTTCTTCAGAGGTCATCTCAGCCACAAGTGCATTAAAGGGTCCACAGGCAAGCTGCAGTGGCCTGTATGTGGAACTTGGGGATCATACTGTGAACTCAAAGAGCTAATGCAAAAATAAATGAAAGTGACCCATTTCATCACGCTAAAGCGGAAATAGGAAATAGGATGTGTACGAATAACCTGCAAATCGACGAGGCATTTAGACTATGGAAGTTAGCGATTGCATTAGAGACGAATAGATGGGTGTTCTGTCAAAGCTCAGGATTACGGCTAGGTGCAGCCAAAAAAGTTTTTGTAAGCACATTGAAAATCTTGTATTGTTTGACCTATGATCGTGGATTGTTTGGTTGCCCTTAGCCAGGTTTGGATGCAACGCTAAGGTATGACTTCTTGCCTTGAAACATCTGGAGAGTGTGTGTGCGTGTGTGTGTGTTCTAGTAAAAAGTAAGCACATTGAAAATCTTGTATTGTTTGGCCTATGATCTTGGCTTATTTTGTTGCCCTTAGCCAGGTTTGGATGCAATGCTAAGATATGAATTCTTGCCTTGAAACATCTGGAGAGTGTGTGTGCGTGTGTGTGTGTTCTAGTAAAAAAAAAAAATAGGAAAGAGCTGTCAGCTTCTTGCTGGTAATTTGCAGAGTTTTGATGAAGGAAAAATCCACACATGCTCTTCTTCTTCAAGACACGTGTATTTACAAAAATATACAAATATACAAAGCAGCAGTCCTTCAGCGTGGCAGCAATATAGAGGCAAAGTAGTGCATAGAGTATAGTAGAACAGAATATAGAGGAAGGAGATACATCACATACACATTGTTCACTTATATACATTTAAGCAGATGCCTCTGTCCAATCAAGACAGGTGTTGCATCACCTTCATACATGGGTGTTGCATCATACACAGATGTTGCGTCATCTTCTTCACAGTCACTGTGACTCAGCACTTCAGAGTCTTGCACAGGTGATCATTATGGCAGCTTATTACCATTACTGTCTTGACCTGTTCAGGCCTGTAAAATTCCCAATATTCTAACAAGAGCCACCTGTGGCACTTTAAAGACTCAAAAGTTTTGTTTGCTGTAAGATTTTTCTGGATGGCTGACTCTTTGTTCTTTTTTTCTTGGAGAAGGAATGAACAATTTCCATGCATAAGCAAGCAGGTTGTTGATGTGGCCAAAATCCTGTTGGGTAGGTGTGACTGCTGATGGGAAATGTAACTTGCAGTGGCAAATTGCCAGTAATTAGAGCCTCCCATTAGGATTCCTGGCTGCATGCCAAGCCACGGTGAGGAACAAAAGCAGTGGCTTGGTTGTTAGTGACAATCAGTCACCGTGAGTTGCACCGTTTTTCCTTCCAGGATTTTGGCCACCGTCGCTTATTAAGCATACCCATTTGGCCGATTTCAATGTTTTCCAGGCTTTTATTCCAACGTTTGTTTGCACCTGAAGTTCTCCACCTAATCTTGAAAGAGAAAATATTTCTCTTCTTTCTTTTTGTAGAATGAGATCTATTGGAATGATTGGTCGCAGCTGAGCATTTTCAGAGCCTCCAAATACAGTGGATCTAGAATGGAAACTCTGGTCGATCATCTTAACGGGGTGATGGATATGAAAATCTTCTACCGTGGGAAGACAGCAGGTACTTCCGGGACACTGAAGAGGGTTTTGTTTTATTTTCATTCATCACATACTTCAGTCCTTAGAGACAAGAAGTAGAACATTGGTGAACATAATCTGGACATCATTCTACTAGTCACATTTAAAAATTGAGAACTAGGAAGGGTATAAATTACATGTATTCCAATCGGTTTGGTTGCTTGCATAACATAATTTAGAGATGGCTACGACAGGTCATTCTAGTTGAGGAGGAACGTTTTGAATGGTGCCAGCTTGCAAGTTTCAACTAATTGGCATTCTCTCGGGCTGCACCTCCAAGGCTTGTGCCAGGTGTGTCTCTAAACAGGCAGGTCAAAACACACCTGTTTGGCAGCCCAGATGTTTTCAGCTCCTGTGTTTTAAAAGGTGCCCTTCCTCTCCCTCCTCCTTTGGATAGGGGAGAACGCCTGCGTGGCCAACCCTTGTAGCCTCCTCTGCCTGCCAAAGTCTAACAACACCTGGAGCTGCAAGTGCCCAGAGGGAGTCTCCAGCCATGTGCTCCCTTCAGGGGAGGTGAGGTGTAACTGCCCTACCAGGTATGGTCTGAAGAACAACACCTGTGTGAAGGAAGGTAAGAAACGCACCTTTGCACTGTGTTTGTTGGCTTGGAGACACTGTGTATGCCATATCTCAGGGACCGATCTACACTTGCAGGGTTCCTAATAATTCTCCCTGGAGAGTATAGTTTGTGGGGGAGGGGGAAAGCCTTACTAAACTCAAGTAACCAGGATTCTTTGTCTGGAGGTGGAGCCAGGGAGCCTAAAATGAAGCAAAAACTCATATATATATATATATAAAGTTAAGGCCTAGATATATCCATGATCTTACATGTAAAGAGTGCATGAGCAGGACATGTTTCAGCTGGGAGCTAAAACAGCTCCTTGTTCCCAGAACTTGGGAACATTAACTTTTTGGACTGATCATGCTAGAATGCCCCACCCACATGGCCATGAGCCACGTTGGGTGGGGGATTATGGGCCTTTGCGTCCAAAGCCTTCACAGTCCCAAACTGTGGCTTCTGCAAGTGGGTGGACGTTTAGGTTTGGTGACAAGAAGAAAGGGCTCAACTCTCCGAACTTGGCGATCCTGATTCAAACGGTCTCTCTCATGGGGCCTGCAACAGAATGTTGCAGCGTAGAGCGCCCATCCAGACATCTGTACCCTCCTTCAGAATCTACAAATCCATTAATGATTCCATTCTCCCCACTCCCTTTGCCAATAGTTGGTTAGCAATCTATACACGATGGGTACATTTGATCCTTTTGGGGCATTTTTTGTATGTCCCTTTGGTTCGTGTATTTGCGGGGTCAGTGGAGGGGTCTGTATATTGGAGCGACCTCTGCTGAAGGGGGTTGCTCTCCACCCCCTGCTCCCCATGAGCCCAGCATTGGAAGGTTTGCTGCATTTCAAACCTTCTGATTCTGTCCTATGCGGGAGGGAGCCTGTTTCTCAGAGATGTGGGTTCCTGGTTGAGTAGCGCCTTCCAACCATGGAATGAATAGCCGACCGGTGCTGCCTCGTTCATCCTTTAATGCTTCTGTCCTTACCTGTGCTGGCTTCTTTACTCCCCTGCGCGTTGTTGCCGGGCCCTAGAAAACGTCTGCCTCTTCAACCAGTACAGATGCTTCAACGGGAACTGCATCAACAGCATCTGGCAATGTGACAACGACAATGACTGTGGCGACATGAGTGATGAGAAGAACTGCCGTAAGTGACCCGGCTGAGATGGCCCATCTGGAGGGTGCACCGTGTTTCGCATGCAAAACAGGGCCCAAAATAGGAGGCAGAGAAGGGGGAGATGCCAGGAAATCAGGAGCGCCCTTCCATGCGTTTAAGACAGGCCAAGGTTTTTTTCAACCCTATCAGTAGAGACCCTTTAAGTGCAGATGCTCATAACTGGATTTGAGCTTCCAAAATGGTAGCCGGGTTTGTCTTATCCCCTAAGATTGGGGAGAGGTTGATCCGCTGAATTATCGGCCTACTCAAGGTTTAATTTCACTGAGTCATCTTTCAGGATGTCCGTTGGCAAAGCTTCAAAAGGCCCAGTGAGCCAAGAGGAGCAATGTTCTCATTCTGTGGGGTGGTTTAAATAAAGCTGCCAGCATCTCAGGACCATTTGCTTATGACCTGAAATTTCCCTTTTTTCCTCCCCGCCCAACAGCGACAACGGTGTGTGATCCTGATACTCAGTTCCGGTGCCATGAATCTGGGACCTGTGTCCCACTGTCCTACAAGTGTGACCTGGAAGATGATTGTGGGGACAACAGCGATGAGAGCCACTGCGGTAAGTGTGGCTTACTTGGAGGGTCTCGTTTGCTCTGTGAATGCATTGCCAAACACGTGTGCGCATGATCACACAAGGAACAGCGCATGCATACCTTCTTTTGCTGCTTGCACACCAGCAGTGTAATTTCATGGCCCGTAAGCCATTTCCCAACTGGAAGAAGTGAGCAAACTGGGTACAGTGAGAAACAGAGCTTAGAAGTAAGGAATTCCAAGTAGCATGGCTCTGTGGAACTGGTTACCTTCTGGGTAATGAAGATGTAGTGAAGTTCCATTCCAAAAGTGGAGTAATGAACAGGAACCAAATTACTTTATAGTACAGTAGGGTCACGAGATCTGCAGAAGGATTGGTTTGAGTAGCGAAAGGTTTCAGTCTAACAAGAAAGAAGTCCAGTTGCCACGACTCAACTTCTAGATTGAACACAATACATTTCATGGTCTCTGTCTAGTGACCAGTTCTGGTAAATACACCCTGGAAATACATATAAATAAATTCTTCTGGGTTTTTTTATTCAGTACTTTCAGCCAGCAAGCAAGTGAACCAGTGGATACTGAGCCCGTGGATAAGGGGTTCCTAGTGTATAACAAGTAACTGGTGGGTGCAGAAGAGTTGGAGGGGCTTGCAAAATCAGTGTACGGGAGGGCCGCAGATGGCCACCCCAAAGTAGAACCGCGAAGCCCCGTTGAGTGGGGATAAAGGAACAACCTGTTGGAAGTGCCGTGTGGATGGCAACTGGACTTATGTGCTTTGCTTCTCTGGAAAACCCTTTTTTGCAGAAGCCCACCAATGCCGGAATGATGAGTTCAGCTGCAATTCGGGGATGTGCATTCGTCTCTCGTGGAAGTGCGATGGAGACAACGACTGCCGGGACTGGTCCGACGAAGCCAACTGCACCAGTGAGCAATGTTGCAAAAAACGACAAGCTCAATCCACCCGTGATGGGATTTTCTGATGATTAGATGCCACCTCTTGGGAACGCGTGTAGCGTCCTTGATGTTGAGTTGTGCTGTTTTGAAAAGAACATAAATGCTAGTAGTGGAGTTGTTGTTCAGTAAGGTGGATGTTTCACCCTTTTACCAGCAAGGGAATCATTCATTCCTTTGCCGAGTTAGATGAAAAGACAGATGATGATTATACAGGGGAGGGGGATTGCATAGAAGAAATATCACAAAGTAGACAGCACGATTTAGGTGCTGCCATGTTTGCCCCACCCCCGCACAGACACAAAAGGGGCAGAATATAGAAAGAGGTAGGAATGATAAACATCTAACCATATTTGCAAAAATATCTTTGGGGAGATTTATGTGAAGCCGATTGGAGTTCAAAGTTTCAGCTTGTCATCCAGAATAATTTGTGCACTAATGGAGTGGTATATAAACAAACAGGCAAATTTTGGCTTCACTCTGCTGTCCATGGAGAGGATTAGTACTAAACCGGGAATTTTTCTGGAGGAACCACATATATTCTACTACAGAAAAAGGACAGGATCTGTTCTCGGTCATCCTAGAATGCAGGAGACGTCATCATGGGCTCAGGCTACAGGAAGCCAGGTTTAGACTGATGATCAGGAAAAAAACTTCTTAACTGTTAGAGCAGCACGACAATGGAACCTCAAGAGGTGGAGAGCGCTCCAGTGCTGGAGGCCTTCAAGAGAAAATGGGACATCCCTCTGTCCGATCTGCTCTGACTTGGATTCCTGCCTTGAGCAGGGGGTTGGACTTGATAGCCTTAGAGGCCCCTTCCAACTCCGTTATTCCATGATTCTCTTCTACCAAAGCCCTTCTCCATGTCTCGGCTTCATTTCTCCACCATTGCATCTTCTGTTTCCATTTGGTTTGACTTCATAACCTTGTGGTCCCTAACAGCTATAAAGACGAAACAGCTGGTTATTCTTATGGGGTGGACACACTAGGGTGGCTTCGCTCTCTGTGATTTTTCCAGCAGTGAATGATTATATGACAGGAAACCTCTTCTGAAAAGCCTGCTGTTTGTGGGTGTTTTTTTGGGGGGGGGATTTTTAAAAGTTTTATTTTGTTAAGCCTTGGCTTAAAATTATCTGAGCATAACAGTTATTTTAGAAACCACTCATCTGGCAGCTCTGCAGGCTGAAATTATACCTCTTATCAAGTGTAATTACATTTCACAGTGAATATTTAATAGAATAATACAGCTGGCACAGTACGGGAGTTTAAAATATCAGGAAGCACATCAGACGTTTGTTGGCAGGAAACGGCATGAATTCAATTTACTGGAGCATGTCCTGCCTTCCTAATAAAAGGCCCTTCTGTTTCTCTAAGTAAGTTAAGTAAGCAAAGTAAGTAGTTAAGTAAGTAAGCAAAAAGTAAGTAAGTAAGTAAGTAAGTAAGTAAGTAAGTAAGTAAGTAAGTAAGTAAGTAAGTAAGTAAGTAAGTAAGTAAGTAGGGTGAAGGTGCTTGGTTTGAGAATTAGAGTAAGAAATTTTTGGAGCAGGGAGAGATAAATGTCAGCCTGACCTTTATGGTGCAGTAGTTAAACAGCAGTTCTGCAGTGAAGACTCTGCTCACAGCCTGAGTTTAATCACAGGCTCAGATAGCTGGCTCAGGGTTAACTCAACCTTCCATCCTTCCAGGGTCGATAAAATGAGTTCCCGGGGTTGTGGGGAGCAATGTGTAACCTGCATAATTTCATTATAAACCGCCCAGAGAGCGCTCTGAGGACTATGGGGCAGTATATGAGCAGCACACTTTGCTTTACTTTCTCAGCCTTTTCATATACAATAGATCTAAAAATGGCTTCCTTGTGCTCTTTTCTTGACCTTCATTTACATATGGCTCTGGGTGATTTCTCATTTCTTTCACTCTCTTTTTTTCATTTGCTTTACTTTCTCAGCCTTTTCATATAAAATAGATCTCAAAACGGCTTCCTTGTGCTCTTTTCTTGACCTTCATTTACGTATCGCTCTGGGTGATTTCTCGTTTCTTTCTTTTTTTCGCCCCATGCTTGCTTTTAGCTGTCTATCATACCTGTGAAGCCTCCAGTTTCCAGTGTCACAATGGCCACTGCATCCCCCAGAGGTGGGCCTGTGATGGAGATGCTGACTGCCAAGATGGATCTGACGAGGACCCCACCAACTGCGGTATGTATGGAAGGGGCTCTCAGCTGGTGTGAGGAAGTTCAAATGGGCTTCTCTCCACCTGAGTGGAGAGTTGAAAAGAGTGTGTTGACTTGGAAAAGTTCCTTTTGGAGCTTGAAGAAGTTCCTTTTGTAGAACCCGGAACCACCCCCCCAGCATGTCCACGAGTCAGGATGTCTTCTAACGAGTTGTCATCCGGAATAATAATTTTCTAGGGTTCTGACAATGACTTCTATTGTCATGGATATTGGTATGTTTTTTGGAAGGTTCTCTGGGAATGTGGGCCTTTTCTGATCCTGAAAGCATGTACAGCTCAATGTGTTGTGTGGATGTGGTGATGCAGGTAAGCCCTGCCTTCCACAGGCCCACATTTCTCAGAAGGTCCACCATGATCACTTAACAGTGTTTTTATGATTAGCAGTCCTGATGAGGAATGGCTGTACGTGTGCTCAGTGGAATGTGCGTGTAGATCCTATGCGTATCTTCCCATTGAATACACGAAGGTTTGCAGGTCCTCTGGGTGGGGATAGGGAAGGTGGGACTTCCCTGCTGCCCAACATCACGACCAGCCTTTGAGCCCTAAATAGCTGCAGGCTGAATGCCTAAACAGGATTGATATATCTTGAGAACTTCAGCTATACATATTCATCTTCTGCCTTATATAATTTGTTAGAACCTCATCGTTTGGGTGAGGAAAGAAAGTGGTTCCTTATTTGTGTTGGAATGGGGGGGGAGGAGACCCCAACGAATCCTGCGAAAAATATCTCTTCCCTTAAGCAAGTCCTCTCTCTCTCTTTCTCTCTCTCTCTCTCTCTGGAAGTCCCCTGGAGTATTTGTGTCTTCCCACTCTTCCTTTCTGGCTCAGGGGGGCATCCAACAGGGGAAGAGCTCACACTTCAGACCCTTTGTGTCATGGTCCTGTGTGAGCTCTTTCCTGGAGATCTCTTTGAGAACCGCAACCAGCCCGCCCCGATCCATGCCCAATCTGTGGCCTTTTTTGATCCAGCAGTCAAGGATGTCCGCTGTGTTTTTAAACCTGTTCTCGTAATGTCTTTAGCTAATATTTTAAATGGGATGTTTATTTAATTCTTTTAAAATTTTAAAATACTTGTATACCGTATTGTTTTTAGCTGTAGTGGTTTTTTTGATGATGTCAGCCAACGGGTCTCTCTTTCTCTCTCTCTCTCTCTCTGGAAGTCCCCTGGAGTATTTGTGTCTTCCCACTCTTCCTTTCTGGCTCAGGGGGGCATCCAACAGGGGAAGAGCTCACACTTCAGACCCTTTGTGTCATGGTCCTGTGTGAGCTCTTTCCTGGAGATCTCTTTGAGAACCGCAACCAGCCCGCCCCGATCCATGCCCAATCTGTGGCCTTTTTTGATCCAGCAGTCAAGGATGTCCGCTGTGTTTTTAAACCTGTTCTCGTAATGTCTTTAGCTAATATTTTAAATGGAATGTTTATTTAATTCTTTTAAAATTTTAAAATACTTGTATACTGTATTGTTTTTAGCTGTAGTGTTTTTTTTTTGATGATGTCAGCCAACGGGTCCTTTTTTTAAGGAAAAAGGAAGGGTAAAAATATTTTAAGTAAGTAAGTAAGTAAGTGAGTGAGTGAGTAAGGGAGTAAGGGAGTAAGGGAGTAAGTGAGGGAGGGAGGGAGGGAGGGAGGAAGGAAGGAAGGAAGGAAGGAAGGAAGGAAGGAAGGAAGGAAGGAAGGAAGGAAGGACGGACGGACGGACGGACGGACGGAGGGACGGACGGACTATGTTTTAGGGCCAGGCTAGAGTGATTCCCGGACAGGAGAGTTACTTTGAGGGTGATTGCTCCTTACAAAGCTATCCTTTCCGAAACGATCAGACACGATTCATTCTCATATGATCACACTTTAAGTCTCCATTATCTTAGATCTTCAGAGCTGGAAGGGACCCTCTGGATCCTTTGAGTCCAGCCTTTGTCGAGGAAGGGACAGTGAGAAAATCGAACGCCCCATGCAACCAGAAACCTAAACCACGGAGCCATCCTTTTCCTTAAAAACCTTCTCCCTCATTCTCCAACCCACCTTGCTCTGTTCATATTTCCATAGTGCTGAAAGTTGGCCTCCTTTGGTTTCATTTTATTTTTCATCCCACTGTGCTGCAGAGACAAAATGCAATGGCTTCCAGTGTCCAAACGGCACCTGCATCCCATCCAGTAAGCGATGTAATGGAGCACGGGACTGTTCTGACGGCTCGGATGAGCATCACTGTGGTGAGTGGCACCTGGGAAGGGGCTCAGCGCAGGCTGCCAGCAGCAGCTCAAGGATTGTTACTCCAGATGGCAGGCAGATGGAATTGTGGACAATGAAATCTAAAGTATAAAATAGAGAGATGCCATGTGCCATTGATTGATTCAGTGATCCATTTTGCTCTTCTTTGTTCAACGTTCTGCAGAGCCCCTCTGTACGCATTACATGGATTTTGTGTGCCGAAACCGACAACAGTGCTTGCTTCGTCCCATGGTGTGTGACGGCACCGTGCACTGTCAAGACGGCTCGGATGAAGACCCTGCGTACGCCGGATGCTGTAAGCTTAGCGGTCGAGAACAGCGTTGTAAAAATCTGATTTTTTTAGAAACCAGGGCCGGACAGGACAAGGCGCAGGTCTAAAAAGCTGAAAGTAACAGCAGGTCCCTCTGAGTAGAGTTTTTACTGCAATACTGCAGTTTAACCGCTTCACCGCGAAGCTCCTTGCGTGATAGCAAGAAGACTAACACTTCAGTCATTCCATTTTGAGTTGTTGTTTGTATTGTTTTTTTTAAATGCATTTTTCTTCTTTGCAGCCCAAGACCCAGAGTTCCACCACACTTGTGACCAGTTCAGTTTTCAGTGCCAGAATGGCGTGTGCATCAGCCTGGTGTGGAAGTGTGATGGCACGGATGACTGTGGGGACTATTCCGATGAGGCGAACTGTGGTGAGTACATAGCGAGTGTCTCCCACTTCATCAAAGTGGAAGAAAAAAAAAGAGAAAAGAAGTGACTTTTGTCAGAGGATGATGAGAATCTTAATTCAGCCCATTCAGGGAGTCTCTGTCCAGGGAAGGTGGAATGAGTTAATGGCTTTCATTATGGCGATGTTGATGGTTTTGGGGTCTCATTTGCTTTTAAACTGGTTTTGTGATTCTTGTCAACCAGTTCGAGGTCTGTCTTCTTGAGGAGGGAAGAAGGCAGGATGGAAAAGGCATTGAGCTCAAACCCACCAACCTCTTGTGGCATCAAGTAGGCAAGAGCTGACCAGAACCTTTTGCTGTCACTAGAAAACCCAACGGAAGCCCCAAACTGTTCTCGGTACTACCAGTTCCAGTGTGACAACGGGCATTGCATCCCCAACCGGTGGAAGTGCGATGAGGAGAACGATTGTGGGGACTGGTCAGACGAGAAGGTGTGTGGAGGTAAGGAGCGTTTGGTTTTTCTTCAAGTTGGGCAACTTGGGCCACTTTGGTTTTGGACCCTAGGAGAGAGGCCGCTGGAACCGCTTGGCCACCAAACTGCTGGATCGCTCAGCGGTTCAGGTCTCTGGATGGGGAGTTCGATTCCCCGCTGTCCCTCTTTGACAGCAGCTGGACTCCATGGCCCAGCTCTGCAGTTCTAAGATTGTTTTTATATTGTGATTAATTGATCGTTGAGGAAGCCAGCTCTGCAGTTCTAAGATTATTTTTATACTGTATTGTGATTAATTGATAGTTGAGGAAGTTGTCCAAGATGGCCTCGAGAAGACACAGTGGGTCTGCCGATGAAGGTTAAGCCGAAGGCCACCAGCGAAACTCTTCTGCCACCTCAGCAGTGAATCTAGATAGAGGGTGGCAGAATGGCATATATCTTTTGGGAGTGGCCAACGGGGCCATCTAAATACTAGCAAGGGTGAACAAATGGTTAAATAGAAGGAAAGGAGGCAGATGGCTCCGGGTGTATGACAAGGATGGCAAAGGGGTAGCCTGTTCTCGGGCCATGTTTGAGACTTCTGGGACCTCCCCTCCCCCCCAGACCAATTCATCCCCCACAAGCTGAAGGCCACAGGGTCACTCCGCAACCAGGAGTTAGATTTCTGCTGTTAAATAAGATGTATCACCTCACCTGCCAAAAAAAAGCCCACCAGGGAAAAATGATCCACAGAAAAAGTAAAATTCTGAGCACCAGAAATAATTTTTTTTTAAAAAAAAAAAAGACGACTAAAAAGCTTTATAGAACTTACACACAATCTAGAGGCAACGATGGGCGATAACTTTATTACTAAAAAACCGAAATCACAAATATATACTAGCTTTCAACCCCATGTGGGTTTTTTCCTTCGGTGCCCATCCTGATGAACATCCTGGCAGAGTCAAAAGCTGGCTTGCGTTGGTGATTTTTAGTGGTCTAAGAAAAGTATCACTCACCTTTGTCTTCGTCTTACCTTTTAAAGACATTTTCCAGACCTGGTGTGGGCCTTTGTAAGTCCTGGGGGTGGGAAGGTGGCCCAGAGACCTGCGAAAGTTGACCACCCTTGCTTCTATGCCCTGACAGGTAAATGGCAGTGCTGTGTCGGTTCAAATATCTGAACGGCTGGTTTAATTTCAGGTTCGGCTGTTGTTCCCGTGACAACGACGGCCCCTACCACATGTTCCCCCAACCACTTCCGGTGTAACAGTGGTGCCTGCATCATGAACAGTTGGGTTTGTGACGGATACCGAGATTGCGCTGATGGCTCCGATGAAGACGCTTGCCCCACTTCGCGTAAGACAAGGGGACGTTGCTCCTTTGTTTTTTAAATGTAGCTCCATGTATTCACTTGTGATCTTAGAGAGCTTATTCATCCTGAAGAGGTCCACATTTAGAACTGCACCACTGCAATGGAGAAAAAAAAAGCTTAGGTGGATGAGAAGTAATTTTTCTTTGTGGGAAAGTACCATGCATTGTGCAATCCACTTGGCTTTGGTATTCCAGATACATTTCTGGATGAGAATTCAGAGCACGGAATCTATTGCAAGAGGTTCTACAAGGGGAATCTTACATTCTAGATCCTACAAGCCTCAGCTCTGCCCAACTTACAGTAGATCTCAGCTGTGCAGTTACAGTGGTTTGTTCGTTCATTTCCATGGCCCTGTTTATGCATTTTTGTGGCTTGTGGTTTGGTGAGCGACTTAGAATTCTGTACCAGAGAGATATAGAACCATCCGCTGAACTAGAGAATTCTAGCACCTACCCAAACTATACATTCCAGATCCCATAGAATAGTGCTGCGACCATTATCAGACTCAAGGTCCACATTAGTTAGAAAAGATGTAAGAGGACATGCGGAAGGTTCAGGGGTGGGAAGGATGAAGGAAGGTGGTCTAGGGACTCATTTTATGGCAATCCAGGATTGGTTGAATTGGAAACTCATTGAGCTGCTGTTTTATTGGTTTTGGACTTTCTGTCATTGGTCATCCTTGGTTTTGTGCATTTGAACAAGATACTTTACACATTTTAAAATTATAACTAGAGGCATCCAAGAAAAAATATACTTCGTGCTCCCACTTAGTTTGGAAGCTGTTAAAATATTTATTGCACTTAACTAAATTATTCAGTTTTGTTTATGTGAAAGTAAGGGGGGGAAAGCATACAGAAACTAAAGAGTTATACAAATGGAGGTCATGTGTGGGAGCAATTCATCTCAAGATGCTCTGAGGTGGAGTTGATTATTTAAAAATTAGTTTTGGGTAATCACAATCACGAGTGATTGTTCCAAATTTGTGGCACCGGTCCTATTAAAATTGGAGGGAAAAATCTGATGCGGACAAAATCCGTTTTATGTTATACAAAATCCATTTTATGTTATCTGTGGAGATGCGTTGACATTCTGGAAAGAGTTGCAGATTGCATCAGCTCGATCGTGAGGAAGCGAAGCCTCACTGTGGAGGTGCCTTGACATTCTGGAAAGAGTAGCAGATTGCATCAGCTTGATCGTGAGGAAGCGAAGCCTCGCCTTCAATTAAATGGCTTTGAAGGGTTTGGTCTTCTGCTTTCCTACCTCATGGATTTTGTACGCACGGGGCATTTAATGAACCAGTTTGGTTCTCTTTCATTTTATTCTCTTTATGCCAATAAAGGTTAAAAAGAAAGCGGGGAGGGAAGAAAAATGGGCTGGAAAGAAAAGGCTTAAAAGCCGTTGAAGGAGAAGGCACCGTGAGGTAGCCGTGGAGGCAGAGTTTCCGCTGGACTAGTCAAGCAGGCAGCTATTCTGTGTGATGCTTTTACGAGCCAAATAGTCAAATTTTTCTCATCCCTTAACTGGTCTGAGACCGCCATCTGGTGGCCTGGAAAGTGAGGAAACAGCAGTTCTGTGTTGGCGAGATTTGAAGTAAAACAAGCGAGTGTGTAGACTCTGTATGAAACTCAAAACGGGAGGCACTGTCTTTATGGAAACGGGATGCTCCATTTTTTTTTATGGCTCTGTCCTGTGCAGACCTGAGGACGGTGCCTCCAGTTTTGATTCTGATCCGGACCGTTTTGAAAACCTCTTTTCTTTCGGCCCAGCTGTCGGGATCCTGCCGACGTCTGCCGGTGCCCCTGGACGCTGCAGCCGCTTTGAGTTCGAATGCCAGCACGTGAAGAAGTGCGTCCCAAACTGGAAGCGCTGCGATGGCTTGAAAGATTGCCAGGATGGGACGGACGAGCTCAACTGCCGTGAGTGTCTGTGGAATATTCTGTGATTCAGCCGCCCTGTGGCTAATGGTCTCTTCTCCCATCTCCAAAGGACAGCTTCTGCTCCTGGAAACCTCCAGAGGCAGTGATTCTTCTTTTAAACAAATCAGAGCCACTGCTCCTTCCCTGTTGAAAAGGAAAAAAAAACAGAGTTTATGGGCTCCCTGAGCTTCTTTTCTTTATATCCTGTGAAGCCATGCTTCCCAACCTTGGATTCCCCAGATGTTCATGGACTGAAACCCCCAGAAGCCTTCACTACTACCTGTTCTGGCCAGGATTTCTGGGAGTTGTAGTCCATGAACATCTGGGGACCCAAGGCTGAGAAGCCCTGCAGTAAAGCATGGCTTGCATGGCACTCCAGCTTTGAATGGGTCCATGTAAACCTTATGTGATTAAGGATTTAAATCCACCCACCCCTTAAGTCAATTCTGTTCTTTGAAATATTTAAAGGAAGAGCCCAAAGTGCAGTGGAGAAACCTATAAACCTTCCCTTTGTGGTTGCAATCTTGGATTTTCAGGTTGCTGGAAGAGTTACCCTTGTCACACGATATCCAGGAGAACTTCTATGGCTTGGTTCAAATCCTCAGCATTGAAACTCACTGGGAAAATCTAGGGCCATCAGATCATCTCAGTCTTGTTGACCTTATTGGATGGTTGTGAGATTAATGGGGGTGGGTGGGGGCTGAGCCATGTGTGCTGCTTTGATTATTGGAGAAAAAGATGTACTGTGTGGTTGCAAAGCAATTAAATAACCAGATAAGTAGCCAATGAGGAGAGGATGTGGTTTGATGTCGTAAAGCAGCTTTGTGTATTCCTTTTCTCCTCCAGCTACTCACAGTACCTTATTGTGTCCCAGTGGGTTCAAATGTGAAGATGGAGACGTGTGCATTATGTTGGCCGAGCGTTGTGATGGGTTCCTGGATTGTTTTGATAGCAGCGATGAAAGAAACTGCACTGGTAGGTCCCGGTGCACCACACTGGATGTCAACTTTCCCTGCACAGACCTTCTAACTTATTAGGCCACCCTGATGCACTCACTTCTTTCATCCGAGGCCTGGCCGGGTAGGGGGGCAGCTGTTTCCAGATGACAGGGTCTGTTCAGTAATGGCTCCAAGCCTTTCTCCTGATCAATCTTTGGGGGCCAAGAGAAGACGATGCTCTTTCATGGTGCCAGCTCAGCAATGAGCCATTCTGGATCTCTTCATCCTTTTTCAGACTTTGTTGTGGATTTCTTTTCTGTGATTTCGTGGCTCACCATTTATGGCCAGCCACTCATGGGATTAGCATTAGGGTTTGACCTCATTCACCCCATGTGGTGGCACTGTGGGCTAAACCGCAGAAGCCTGTGCTGCAGGGTCAGAAGACCAAGCAGTCATAAGATCGAATCCATGTGATAGAGTGAGCGCCCGTCACTTGTCCCAGCTCCCACCAACCTAGCCATTCGAAAGCATGCAAATGCAAGTAGATAAATAGGGACCACCTCAGTGGGAAGGTAACAACGTTCCGTGTCGGAGTCGCACTGGCCATGTGACCACGGAAGATTGTCTTCAGACAAAACGCTGGCTCTATCGCTTGGAAACGGGGATGAGCACCGCCCTCTAGAGGCGAACACGACTGGACAAAAATTGTCAAGGGGAACCTTTACCTTTACCTTGACCTCATTCACTGCCTGATGGACTGCTGTGAATGGAAATCTGGGATGCAAATATTTTCAGCTCTCTACCTGACTTAAGCATTTCAAACTGGGTTCAGAGAGAAGCAACCCTCCGTCCGCTGAGCCAGGAATTTTGTAGGGCAGCCAAGGGAACATCACTGATCTTTCCGGGTTGTTTTGGCACATGGAGTAGGACTGCTATAAATTGTCATGGCCTTTTCGTGCTCAAGGTCCCCATATATGGCAGGTTCTCTGCATTGTCTTTCAAACCTCCAAAATGCCGATGGCTAGTGCTACGGGCCGCCAAGGCTATCACAGAACAGCACGCCCCTGCCTGGATTGATGATCCTAAGCACCGTGCAGCCCACCAGACACAGCATGGGAGAATTGATTTTTGTGATCACAGCTGCCAGAATCCCCAACCTAACTGGTTTGGGAGTGCTGGTTGTTGTAGTTCAGTGAAGTAGCTTTCTTAAGTTCATCAGGCACCTATTGTGGCTACCAAGAATTGGTCCACTGTCTACACAGTGCAGACAAGGAGTAAAACAAGAAGTTCTGTAGACTCTTAGTAGACCATAATAGACAAATAGCAAGCTTCTCGTTTCTCTTTCTGTGCACACAAAATTTCAAGAGCATTTTTATTCTGTCCTTCCTGTGAGAGCAGAGAAGTTTACAGGGATCATTAAAAAGAAAAAGAAAGGAAACTCTATCTCTTCCTACAAATATATGCTCTGAAAGATGCAACACAAGAGGAAGAAGCAATGTGGAGGGAGAAAGAATATCTCAAGCTCAGGGAGTGCTTCTTCGGGTCATATTAAGGTCTTGTAATGACCACCTGGAATGGAAACAGTTCAAAGAGAGAAGCCAAAAAGCAACTGATCTTTCAGTAGAGCTGATAAAGAGTCTCTACAGCCCCATCTCTTTCCACCTCTTTATTCCTCATCAAACGGTTCTCTTGCTTATAACAAAGTGAGGATGAGCGAATGTAGCCCAGAAGCTCTAAATATGGTCCTTGGTTGATTTCCTTCAGAGTGACAGAAAGGGAAATTGCAATGTTTAAGGCTCCTTCACATGCACAAACCTTTGCAAGCAGAAAGCTAGGAAATCCAGATGGTAGATTGTAGTCCAGTTTTCTCCATTACATGCCTGTTCCCTCCCGACCAACATAAAGTTATCTTCTTTCATGGGGGCAATTAATCAGTATTGGAACATTACCTGTATAATGAGGTAGCACTGTTTGTTTGTTTGTTTGTTTGTTTGTTTATACCCTGCACCATCTGGCAACCAAGCCAGACTGGGCGGCTAACAACAAGATAAACAACACAAAATCAAACACAATAAAAGTAAAACAATACACACATTCAAATGAATATGATATGAACAAGATAAACAACACAACATCAAAACACAATAAAAGTAAAACAATACACATTCAAATGAATACGATATGATAGTCAAAGCTATGGTTTTTCCTGTCGTGATGTATGGAAGTGAGAGCTGGACCATAAAGAAGGCTGACTGCCGAAGAATTGATGCTTTTGAATTGTGGTGCTGGAGGAGACTCTTGAGAGTCCCCTGGACTGCAAAGAGAACAAACCTATCCATTCTAAAGGAAATCAACCCTGAGTGCTCACTGGCAGGACAGATCCTGAAGCTGAGGCTCCAATACTTTGGCCATCTCATGAGAAGACTCCCTGGAAAAGACCCTGATGTTGGGAAAGGGTGAAGGGAAGAGGAGAAGGAGATGACAGAGGATGAGATGGATGGACAAGGGCATCGAAGTAACCAATATGAATTTGACCCAACTCCGGGAGGCAGTGGAAGACAGGAGGGCCTGGCGTGCTCTGGTCCATGGTCACGAAGAGTCAGACACGACTAAACAACTAAACAACAACAGCAACATACATCAACTAAAGTGCAAAGAAGGATTTTAGACTAGCTTCCTTTCCAGGTTTTTCTGATTTCCCACTCTCCTCTGTGTCAGTATTTCTGTTCCATTAAAAAATAAATAAATCCCTGATCCCCAATTCATTACAGTTTAGATAATGGCCAGGCGAATAGCAGTCGATTGCTGTCTCTCTTCCCCAGTGCTTCTTCTTCCCATCTCCCACCTCGGGATTCAACCATTTTCTTCCCACAGCAGAAGAGGGCCACTGAGCATCAATCCGTCCTTAGTTCTTTAATTAAATATTGATTCCAAGGGGTTGCCAAGATCTTAGCTCACCCACCAAGCCATGAAAATTTCTGCTGGGCCAGAATTCTAAAGAGATGCACATCAGCAGGTTTGCGTCATCCTAGCGTGTGTGAGAGGCTTTGGCCCCCTCCTCCTCATCATCATCTTAGAGAACTGCAGAGCTAGAAGCGACCGTCCTTCAATGTTCGCTGGAGGGCTGGTCTGATCAGTTCACACCATCCCTGGTGCAGAATACATAGGGCTGAGCTTTTTGAAGCTGCCCATTTTGGTGTTTCTTCTGTATCAAAATCTCCCTGCTTGTGGAAAACTGGATGGCTCAGGGAACGGATACACATCCTTTGTGTGTGTTTATCTGCCTTTGGTATTACTGATTTAAAATGTTGGCTCACTTTTCTTAGGGACAAGGCAGGAGAACATCGTAGCTTGGGTTTGAGGTTATCAGGATAAGCCAGTGATTCCTAATCTCTGGTCCCCATATGTATTTTGGACTACAACTCCCAGCAATCCTGGCCAGCACAGCTAGTGGCAATGGCATTTGGGAGTCGTAGTCTAAGAACATTGGGGACTGGAGATTAATAGTGAGGATGGGCAAATGTCCTCACTACCACCACTGTCAAGTTCTCCTTTAGCATAGTGACGTGGCATTTGGGAGTCGTAGTCTAAGAACATCTGGGGACTGGAGATTAGGAACCACTGAGATAAACAGTGAGGATGGGCAATTGTCCTCACCACCACCACTGTCAAGTTCTCCTTTAGCGTAGTGACAGATGATTTCTTGTTTTGTTGCCTTGTCCCTTCTAAAGCCTCACTAAATTGCTTTTTCGCAGATGAGAACCTTGTCTATAAAGTCCAGAACCTACAGTGGACGGCAGATTTTTCAGGCAACATCACTCTGACCTGGGCTCGCCCCAAAAAGATGCCTCTTGCTTCCTGTGTCTACACGATCCATTACAGGTAATGAGGCTAGAGATGAGCATGAATTGCCAGTTTGGTGGTTCATAATGGTTCGTTCGTCAGATGCACAGGGGTTCCACAGGCACCCTGGCTTCCCTTCCCTGCCTCCTCCAGCAGGCGCCCACTTAGAGGAGGAGGTGGGGCAAGGAAGTCTAGAATGCTGCCTTTCAGTGGGCGCCTGTTGGAGGAGGCAGGAGAGGGAAGCCAGGATGCCTGCAGAACCCCTGTGCATCCGACGAACGAACCATTATGAACCACCAAACTGGCAGCTAGTGCTCATCTTTAAATGGAACCCAGTTTTAGAACATGTAGCAAAGATGTGATCAGGTGGGGGAATGTGGGGCAAGGAAGTCTAGAATGCTGCCTTTCAGTGGGCGCCTGTTGGAGGAGGCAGGAGAGGGAAGCCAGGATGCCTGCAGAACCCCTGTGCATCCGACGAACGAACCATTATGAACCACCAAACTGGCAGCTAGTGCTCATCTTTAAATGGAACCCAGTTTTAGAACATGTAGCAAAGATGTGATCAGGTGGGGGAATAGATTGCAGTTTGTCTTACTTGTGGAGCAATTTGGTACGATCTGTTCCCTGGCAATCTCACAACGTACGGGGAATTGCACATCAGCCTGACTCCAATATCTAGCCAAGCTGGGCCTTTTGAATTGGATCCAAACCAATCACAATATCTGCCAACTTGTCCCTAAAAGGGCCCATATTTATTGATCCATGTCCACCCAACATTCCATTTTATGCAGCACCATGAGCGCTCATCAGCTCCAAAGCTCCACTATTTTGTCAAATACACAGAATAGCTGCCAACCACGCCATGTCATAGGCATTCAGGATCATTTGAGCTTTTGCTCTCTGCATTTCTTGCATCAACTTCCCTGAGAGGGCCAAGTTCCAAACACGTTTATACCAACCGTTGAAAATTAGAATTTCTTTTTGCATCCTTTCCCTGTTACGATAGTTGTTGTCGAATCAAGGTATACAGTAAATCAGGGAAGAACAGATCCAAAGAACAAAACTAAATTCCTGTTCCCAGGAAATGACACACTAAATGGAGACGATGGAGAAAAGGGACAGGATAGGGGGAGGCAAAGATAGCAAGCTGTGATGGGATGCAAAGGATGATAGGCATTGTAGTCCCATACATCCAGAAGGCACCAAGCCAGTTCCAATTTTCTGAGCTTCTTAATCATCCTCCTGAGCTACCTAGGGTTTCAGCGTGATGTTGTTCCTTTCCTTTGTGTTCCCAAATCCAGGATGGTTGGAGAAAGTGTGTGGAAATCCTTAGAAACTCACAGCAACAAAACCAGCAGTGTCTTGAAGGTGCTGAAGCCCGACTGTACGTACCACGTCAAAGTTCAGGTCCAGTGCTTGACGAAAACCTACAACACCAATGACTTCATCACCTTGCGTACCCCGGAAGGATGTAAGTTGGGCTACTGGTTGGTAGCATGTGTCAGATGTCTTGACAGATGCATCAGAGGTGCTAAGCTCAGTGGCAGGACATCTGCATTGTGTGAAGAAGGTCCAAGGATCCGTCTCCACCACTCCCCAGATAAAGCTAGGAAAGAATCTTGCTTGCAGCCTCAGAGAGCTGCTGCCGGTCAGTGCTGACAGTACTAAGCTAGCTGGATCTATCAACTGACCCAGGATAAAGCAGCTTCCAGTCTTACTATCTCTCTACGTTACACTGAAGATGGTTTGCTATGTCTCTATACAACTGGTGATCGCAATAGAACTACAACATCCAGAATCCCCAGCCTGTTTTGCCAGTGATGAACTATGAGAGTTGTGTCCGCAATAGATGGAGCACCAAAAATTCCCCACTCCTGGCCCTAGACTGTGCTTTGGAGCACCAAAAATACCCCACTCCTGGCCCTAGACTGTTTTTTTTTTTTTTTGAGTGCTCTGGCCCCATTAGGCTCTCTTGCCCCTAAAGAATGTGTTTCCCCATCAAAAACAGGTGGTCCTACAGTTCTAAAAAAATGTCAGCTGCAGCAATTGCACCTTTTGAGTATGTTTCAAGGACCCCCTTGTCATTATTTAACACTAAAATAAGCCACAGGTTTTTCAAGTTAGACTAAAACAGGTGGTCCTACAGTTCTAAAAAAAAACATCAGCTGCAGCAATTGCACCTTTTGAGTACGTTTCAAGGACCCCCCTTGTCATTATTTAACACCAAAATAAGTCACAGGTTTTTCAAGTTAGACTTCTGGCCATGTCTAATTTCTTTTTTGTTGTGGGTTCTGTATTCTCCTGGAAGATCATTTGGGACAGAGAATTGGTGTGTAGGCCTGCCAAAGGGGTCCACCCCATTTGACACAATCTGCTGTTCTTAATCTTGCCTGCATGTTTGCAGTTTGCTATACTGGTTGCAGTGGATTGTCCAGTCACTTCCAGTGCAGACACCCAGCAGAATTTCTAGCTGGGTGCAACTTTTTTTATGCAACCTAAATTTTCTTGCTTCCTGTCTCAGTGTATACTCACAACACAGCATGCTGCAGCCATGTCATTCTTGCTGTTAGTGATATTTGCATTTTTTCACCATTGACACAAAGAGAATCTGTGGCTGGCTGGACAGCTCAGTGGTTTAGGTATCTGATTGTGAAGCCCGAGTTTGGGAGTTTGATTCCCCACTGTGCTGTCAGGGAGAAGAGTCAGCCTGGGTAGCCTTGGGCAAGCTGCACAGTCCCACGTCTCCCCCAGAAGAAGGGAACGGGAAACCACTTCTGAGTATGCTGTACCTGGAAATCCCTGAAAAGGGGTTGCCGGAAGTCAGAATTGACTTGACAGCACATTATGATTATTATTATGGCTGACTTTCCAGCGATCCTGTCTCTTTCCCATCTCTACCCTCTTCTTACCAGTGCCAGACCCTCCCCGCCATCTTCAACTGGTGCTGAAGAAAGAAGCTGAAGGTGTTGTGATTTGCCATTGGGCGCCACCAGCCAGCGCCCATGGCTTGATCAGAGAATACGTGGTAAGTATTGCTGGGTCATCTTTCTGAGGGTCTTTCAAAGTGAGAGACCTGCACAAATGCAGATGAAACTGTAGGTAGCATTGCCAGTACCAGAAAGGGCACATCATCCTTTACGGATTTAGGGTAACCTTTGTGGGTGGATGAGGTGTAAGTATAGATATCAGACTCAGCTGGACAGATCAAAGGAAATTATCGTACTGCAGGGCTAGAGTACTGTGTCCAGTTTTGGACCCCATCATGTTAAGAAGGATATTGAGAAGCTGAAACATGTCCAGAGAGGGTGACCTAATTGTTTAATATATCTGGAAGCCAAGCCTTATGAAGAACAGTTGAAGGAATGGAGCCTCTTTAACCAGCAGAAGAGTAGATTGAGAGGTGCTATGATGGCCACCTCAAGATGTTGGAAGGTTGACCACGTTAGATTGGGCAAGCTTGTTTTTCCCTGCTCCAGAAAGTATGAACTGGCGGATTCAAATTACAAGTAAGGAGATTGTGACCAAACATAACATAGAACTTCCTGACAGTAAGAACTGTTTGACACTGGGACCATTTGCCTTGGACCGTGGTAGGCCCATTGGAGGTTTTTAGGCAACCCTGTGCCAGGGATATTTTAGCTGTAGCTTTCCTGCATGGTAGGGTTCAACTAGATGACTTTTGGCATTGTTTCCAATCCAATTCTATGATTTCTGAAAACTCCTTCTGCACAGTAGGGAGTCTTCACATCTTCAGAAGCTTGACACTAGCCTATAAGATGGGCCCACCAGTTTGGGGTTTTCTTTTCCCCTTAGGTAGAGTACAGCAGGAGCGGCTCCAAGGAGTGGTCGTCTGTGAGAGCCTCCAGCAATTACTCAGAAATCGAGAGCCTGCAGGTCAACTCTCTGTACACATTCCGAGTGAGTATATAATTTGCATTTGTTTGATTATAACCCTACACCGATTTCCATGGGGGGGGGGAAATGAACCTGTGTACCCTAATATTGTCTTCTCTGCCACTCAGAGAAGAGGACAGGGGATTGTTCTTTGCAAGGCAAGGCTAGAGCTAATAGATGTAAAACATCATCAGGCAGATTTCAGCTGCCAAGGGCTGGTCAGTAGTGGAACCAGTTATGCATGGTTCTCTCTTTGGAAGTCTTCCCGCAGAACATGAATTTCTGATGATCTTGCAGTTCTGGGTTTGCTGCATCAAGGAGAGGATCAAAAGGGGTGTCTTAGGGGGAACCCCCCTCTGATTCAGTGACTGCCACTGACTGTCCATCATCTCCAGTAGAAGCTCTTCCCACCCCCTAATCCTTGTATTCTTTAACTGGAGAGGCTAACGATGGAAAGGATGGCCTTCTGTATGCAGACTATGTGTGTATTCTTCCATGAAACTGTTGTTCCTTTGCAGAGAGGCTGCTGATGTAGGGCCAGCAAGCTTGCTTCCTGCTTGCTTTGGGCCCAGAGGTTCTGTCGTCCTTCACCGTTGGCGATCCTAGCTAGGGGGTTGTCTTGTAGTGCTGAAATGTTTGGAGAGCCACAGCTGCCCACCCTTGACATAATCAGAGAAGGCTTCTCCAACCCTTTGCAGGCCTACAGCTGAATGTTGGTTGAAAGGAGACTCTCTGGATGGCTAGAAGGTCCCCACAGAGCATGGAAACAGCCTCCTGATCTTAGAAGGTGCCATGATTGTCCAACACCAGGGGGCTTGATGGGGCTGCAATGCCTGTAAGGCTGTTGGTTAGAAGGAAGGGCCATAGACAGCCCCAAGAGGACTCGTTACACCTCTTCCCTCTTTCTCTTGGTTTGGAAAATTGGGTGGCACCAGAGAGCCCATCCAGTGTTACTGGCTGATAGAAAACGTATGACATGGTCCTGCCTCAAATTCATGGATCAGGGGATGGGAAGAGCTGCCCAAGGTGATGATGGACTAGTAGCAGTCCTAGACTTGGAGGAGGGAACCCTTGTAAACTACTGAATCCAACCCTCTGATGCTGCAAATCCAGAAATGGTCTTTGCTTGTTGTGTTTCACATGGTCTGGCAGTGGCTGTTCTAAAATTTGAGGCAGGGGTTTTTCCAAAGCTTTTCCTGGAGATGCTGTGGAGGTTGAGCTTGGATTCTTAACCCTCCCAAGCTGCAGCCTGTCCCTATATCTGTTCCATTGTTTCCATCTGGGCAACATATTACTTTGAGGGCAGCCATGGGGCAGGGAGAGAGGGCACATTCTGCCTCTTCCTCACCAGTCTCCTGGTTTCCCTGTGCTGCTTGCCCATCCTCTTTGACATCTGGTGACTGGGTAATGGAAATCTGCATGACAAGCAAGCCCCCGCTTTGAATCCCTGAAATCTCAGTTTTTTTCTCTTTTCTTCTGAGTTGAAGAAAAAGGCAGCCACTGTCAGATGGGGAGGGAAGCCTACGGGTGCCAAGTGATGGCTAGAAGCAATGACTCCACAGGTGTCTGTAGCAGCCCTTGGAATCAGCGGCTGCCACAGACACCCTGAAGCTTCCTGCCCCTTGGAATCTTGTTCACAGATCCCGGGAGGAACCAGGAATCTGACTCTGATCACACGTTGCTTTCCTGCGGAGTAACAGAACAAGCCATGTCTTGCTCTGAGCTCCCTTTCCCTGTCAGCCCGGTCTCCTTGTAAACCTGCTTTGTTTTCATTAAAAAGCAATTTTTTTTGCCAGCGTGCCTTCTTGCATATTAACGAGCCTTCTGGTTTGAAAAGGTTGCCGCGGTAACTAGCCGTGGAGTGGGAAACTGGAGCGATTCCAAAGCCATCCGCACGGTAAAAGGAAAAGGTAAACTGCTCAGCAATGCAATTATTTTTACTGCTTTTCCTTTTATTTCCCCGCAACAGACAACCGACGGAGCCCAAACCCTACATCCATAAATAAATCTGAGCATTAATAACAATATCACTTACCTCTTACATTGTGTTATTTTAATATTAATGTATTCCCGGCAGCCTTGGGAGGTTCATTATATCCCACTCGCTCACCTCCCTCGACTATTCAATGTGCCAATTATGAAGCCATCTACAGCTAAAGGCCTGTGCATATTGTAAATATTAATCATTTGCTACATTAAACATCTATGGGTTCCTTGCCCAAACTTACATGAGCTGCTACTCCTGCCGATTGATGCCTCTGCGCTCATATTGGAAATACGTTGGAAAATGGAATTTCAGTTAGGCATACTATTGCTTTCAGCATCTTACTGAAGCTGTTATGTGCCTTCAAGTTGCATCTGATAGTGACCCTAATAGGGTTTCCAAGGTATATGAGCTCTTTGTGGTTTTTTCAGTGCCAGCCCCAGTAATTTGAAGCCAGCTCTACACATTGACTAGATGATGAAAAATACACTTAACCAGTTTTGTCTGCACAAATTCTCCAAGCAGTAATGTTGAGACTTCTTGTCCTACGAGTTAGCTAGATCCAGTAGCCAGGAGCACTTTATATCTCAGAATCCAACCTTTTTAAAAATGTGATTCGCCTTTAAAACAAGAACTGCGCTCACCGCATACCTTGTTTTCAAAGGAAAATTAGGTCCTCTACTGCCAAGTTCAGTTTTGTGGTCAAGCTGCCCTGTAAGATTTGGGGTTAGGTTATGTACCCCCGTGCCCTATGCATAAGGTAGAACCACAGCTGCTTCTTAAATCACTGAATGCTGCAGGCAGCCATCTTTTAGAATCTGGATTCAACTTCCAGTTTAGAAAAACTGGCTGTGGTAGAATCTTGGAAGAGGCATTCTGTGCTCCTAATCATGGTTTGCCTTTGGATTTATCCATGAGAGAGGAACGGGCATGAGATTTGTACTAGTTGGCGTGCATTTATAATGCCTTTGTTTTTTTAAAGAAGAACATGCAGAACACTTTTAAAAAGATGTTTGAGGTGCAGGTAAGACCTATTTGTGGGTCACAAACCATCAGTTCAAGATAGGTTCATTAGGATTAATGTGTTCAGCTGGCAGAATAAATGGGGAAAGAAATGTTTTCCTTGGAAAGGTTGCAAATCTCAATGCATTAAATTTCAGTTTTCACCTTGCTTCTGTCTGATCCTTTTCTCCCTGTCTCAGTTATTCCAGCACCTACGATTCATATTGATGGTTACAATGAAAACTCCATAAGCTTCACCCTCAAGATGGAAGGTAACATTCAGGTAATAATCCCGGGTACTAGAATCTAGTTTCTCTGATCGTCTTTTACCGGGGTGACAAGGGTAAAAGAATGTATTTTTGTGTTGCAGTTTTAATATTGCACCCGTTTGCTAGAGATTTATACACACTGTGGGGCCAGCCCACACATTAGACAAGTGGACTTTCTCTACAGTTCCCTCTTAAAGCTCCTGAATCCTGCTGGCAGCCATCTTTCAAATTTGACAACAAGGAGAAGAATCTGATCTAATTTACAATATGATTTATCTCAGTAAATGTTTAACTATGCTGGTCAAAAACTGTGGGGTGGGATGGGGGGAGTCTCAAGAATTGAAAATTCACTGGTTTATTTCTTTTCTTTCCCCCCTCTTCCCCCCACCCATTCTGTACCGTTGGCCAATAGGTGAATGGATATGTAGTGAAAATCTTCTGGGCTTTTGATACCCACAGACAAGAAAAAATATCCTTGTTCATCGATGGTGGAAAGTCGGCACAGACTGGTAAGACCTTTTCACCCTGAAATAATCGAAGAGAGATCCCCCAATTCAGAACCAGATCAAACTGAAATTGATTGCATGTGTTGTGGCTGTGAAATCAGAGAAGCACCAAAAAATATGGGGAAGGCTTTTTCAACATTTCTGGGTTCTTGGTCATGGAACCTTCAGGAAAGTATTCCACATGAACTTCTAGAAGCTAGGGCAGGAATACCCCGCCTGTGGAAAATCACTAGATTTTCTTCCATCCTTTCAGGCTTCATAGCTTGTTTCGCAGGTGGCAACTGTACACTTTGGGTGATTCGCTGTCCTTTTGTCTCAGCTTCATCGAAGACTTTGTAAACCTTCCTTCTGGGGAAGAGATGTCCGTACATCTTTGCTTAGCCCTTGTCTTATCTCCCTTCTTCCTCAGTGGGTAATTTGACGGCACAGACCCCCTATGAGATTTCTGCCTGGGCCAAGACGGAGCTGGGTGACAGCCCTCTCTCCTTTGCCCATGTGGTGACCGCTGGCTCGAGACCATCCCCTCCCAGCCTGAAAGCCAAAGCTGTCAACCAGACTGCCGTGGAGTGTAACTGGACTGGCCCAAAGAACGTGGTAAGGCTGGGGTAGGAAACCTTCTGTCTTGAAGTCAGGTCAGACTAGCTGTTGGTCACCAGAGCCATCCGCTTTGATGTGGGTCGTATTTTTTGGTTTCTGCCCTTTTGTGGCCTCTGAATGATTCACTCAAATAGTATTTGGGTCTCAAATATAAAGAGATCTCCCTCATCCATGTCATAAGTTTCCTTCAGTGAAAAGAGTCGGTCAGCAAAGGAACCTCTTCTAAACATTTGTCTCAATTTACAACTTCCAACAAAACTCTCTCTCTCTCTCTCTCTCTCTCTCTCTCTCACACACACACACACACACACACACACACACACACACACACACACACACACACACACACAAACACACAAATTTTAAAATCAGAACAGTAAAATAATCTTCTTTAATTCCAACTGTTTAAAATAAAACTTATCTAGAAAATAGTTATTTATTCTTTTCTAAGGATTTCTTTTACAATTATACCTGTATTTTGCTCTCATAACAATCCTATGAGCTGGGCCATGTGGATGATGTGCTCAGCGCTCCCCGGTGAGTTGAGACAAGCTCTGAACCTGGGCTGTCCATGCCCTAAATGATCCTGGTCACAGAAATTGGCTGGATCATGCAACATTTTCAAGAATTATTTATTCACCATTAAATCCCTTTAGTGGGTTGCCTGAGTGATGACCTTATAACTGGCGAACGGATAGAAAAGTTTTATACATTTGTTAGAAGTCGCTGTCCTGTTAACTCCGAACTCTCTGTTCACCTTGTCACGGAGATGACTATAAATGCAGGCAGGTTGGAAAACCTAAAATATTTCTATGGCCAAGAAAAAAACTGCAAATTGCCAAGGCTGTTGAAAGAGGTACCATATTTCTCTCTGTCTCTCTCTTGTTGGGCAGATATATGGTGTATTTTATGCCACCTCTTTCCTGGAGTTGTACCGAAACCCCAACAACGCTACCACCGCCCTCCACAACATCACGGTCATCGTCAACAGAGATGAGCAATACTTATTTCTGGTAAGGAATTATTCTCACTCCATCCCACCCTGAAAACAAGTGCTGCTCAAACAATTGTTGCCAAATCCATGCTCAAGATGACAGTCTCGGAGTCCCAGTCAGGTTTGGGAAGCCCCTTAAGGGGAACCCTCATTGAGCTGTGGAGCGCCAGTCTCCCCTGACAATATTTAGCTTGCGTACAAATGTTGTAGAATGTTTTCATCGTAGATCCAGAGTTCTCTATGAATTCTGCAACAAAATGTGATTCATGGACTGTCCGTCCCTAGCGTACGAGTGTTAATTAAATGATACTGTTGTTCCCTTGAGTCTTGCGTTGTGTCAGGAGGCAAAGCTGCAGTAGATTAGCGGTGTGAATAACTAACAACTACTGACCTTCCTAAGGTACGTGTGGTTTCTCCGTACCAAGGACCACCTTCCGATTACATTGTGGTGAAGATGATCCCGGACAATCGCCTTCCTCCTCGGCACCTCCATGTCATACACCTGGCGAAAACATTTGCGGTCATTAAGTGGGAGTCACCGTACGATTCACCTGATCAGGATATGGTAAGATGGTTGGGCGGTTGGAGGTTGCCCAACGCTGTCTTTGCACAGAGTTGAGGAACAAGCATTTAATTGCTGACTGCAAAGGTTGCAGTTGTAAAAGGGTGAAGCGGTTGAAGGCAGAGAGATCTGTTTGACACCCAGCAGAGCCTTTCCCTTCCAACACCGATGCTTCCGCAAATATTTAGCATTTCAGAGACGGGATAAGACCTCTCAAAGGCTGGGATTCTCAGCGTTCACTGTACCCCTTCTTTGCTCCCTTCAGTTGTACGCTGTGTCTGTGAAAGATTTAGTCCGAAAGACGGATAGAAATTACAAGGTGAAGACTCGTAACAGCACGGTGGAGTATACCATCAGAAAATTGGAGCCTGGTGGGAAATACCATATTGTCGTTCAACTGGGAAACATGAGCAAAGAAGCCAGTTTGAAAATTAGCACAGGTGAGCCATGGCTTATTCGGAAATGTGTCCCAGGGAATCTTTGTCTTCCTGCTCCCGGCTGGAATTCAGGGCACACTCATCCTAAAGAAAAATCCCAGTGGATTCAGCAGGGTTTATTTCAGAGTAAATTTGCACAGAGTTGTACTTGCACTGTGCTGGTATTTTGAAGAACTGATCAAGGCCAATGATCAAACATTGCCTCAGTGTTTCCATTACTTCCTCTCGCTTCTTTTTTACAGTATCTCTCGCTGCCCCAGAGGCCTTAAAGATTATTGCAGAAAATGACCATATCTTGTTGTTTTGGAAGAGTTTAGCCTTAAAAGAAAGCCAGTTCAGTGAAAGCCGGGTAAGTTATGACCACACAACAGTGACATTCCAGCCCCCATTGTTTTACTTATTTGAGGATGTTTTGTGCTGATTGGCTAAAACCAAGTTGCAGAAGGAGTAGGCCCATCGACATGGATGGAAATTACTTATATGTTGACTACGAAAAAAAAATTCATTTTGGAGAATTTAGACTAGCTGGGCCCAAAATTGAATCTTCTCCCTCCTTCCCTCTCAATCCTCCCCTCTCTATCTCTCTCTATCTCACACACAGAGGGAGGTGGGGAGATAGTGTGTATACATTCCCTTTATATGTGTGTGTTATGAGCAAGCAATTTGTAAATCATTGGACAGCTCCTGTTCATGCAACCTGGTGCTTTGAATGCCACATGCTTTTATTCAGAGCAGCCACAAAAGGCAGAGGCTGGAAAAATTTGCCACAATATCCGAATTCATCTGCTTTTGTTAATTGTTCTCCTTTATGGCCAGAATCCTACAATGCAAGATAGCGCACGTATGAGGAATTGTAATTTTTGTGGTCATCTTTCATGCGCCTGGATACAGGACTAAGTGTGTGGCTTAGGAATGTCTGAGTGCCCAGCAGAAAGCTGGGTCGATCCCTCACACAACACGCGTGATGGTTGGTTTATGCTGCACGATTCCACGAGGATTCTGGCCTATCTCTCTATATATACTGTAAACACACACACACACACACACACATGTATAATCATGCGTACTATTATTCTGTAACTCAACTTGTCTCACATTGTTGTGTGCATGTTTCTTCTCAGGGCTACGAGATCCACATGTTTGACAGTGCAACCAATAGCACGTCCTATCTTGGAAATACCACAGAGAATGTCTTCAAAGTGTCCAACTTGAAGCCAGGCCACAATTACTCTTTCGCGGTGCAAGCGCGGTGCCTCTACAATGGGCAGATGTGCGGAGAGCCGGCGACGCTGCTCTACAATGAACTAGCAACGGGTAAGCCCTCAGCCCAGGGTTTCAGAGGCTGGCTTTTCTCCTGGGATGCCTGGGGAAGACTCAAACTCCCAACCTCTACCTCCACAGCCAGATACCAAACTCATTGATCGATCCTTCCAGTTCCCGTTTGATTTAGGTCCTTTAAAGCGTACCAAAGAGTTCTCAGAACAAATGAGAGTCCTTTATGTGTTGTTCTAATAACCTTCCTTCCACTCTTCAGGCGAAAATCCTGCGGCCTCTACGATGGGGAGATCTACAGACGTGGCCGCCATTGTGGTACCGATATTGTTCTTCTTACTGGTGACCATGGGCGTAGGTTTCGTCGTCCTGTACATGCGGCACCGAAGACTTCAGAGCAGCTTCACCGCCTTTGCCAACAGCCACTACAGTTCTCGACTGGGGTCAGCCATCTTCTCTTCGGGTGATGATTTAGGTAAGCCTCGCCATTTTTCGATGAGGTCTCAGTTAGACAGAACACCTACGGCTGAAACTGGTCTGAACCACATTCAGCTGCAGAAGTCCACACTGGTGTAGGGCCAAATTGGACATTATAGATGGCACATCGTTAGAGTCTTTAAGTTCCTTAAGTGTTGTAATGACACGATTCTGGCAGGACTTTGTGCCGGAGTGGTCACACCAGCAAACAGAGCCTTTGTTTTCCTGCCAATGCCCAAATGCAAAACAAAGCTCATTTGCATACTATGAAAGTATGAAAAGCTCATGCTATGACAGTCAGACAGCGTTCATCAGTTAAGGAATTCCCACTTCTAATGACATGCTCTCTGTGTCTGTATGGATTAGCCCATAGTTGGCTTGCAGTTTTTAGGGAATCTGTCTTTTTTGTTTCCATTGAAGTGTTGTCTTGTGGAGGGCAGGTTATGTGGGTGGAAATGACAGGTTGACCCACATCAAACACTCCCAAATGGTGGATAGTTGAGGGATCATTAATAAGGAGATTATCTAACTCCCACCACCCCAGTTTTATGACCTGTGTATTTATTTTCATGCATTGAAATGAATGGTAATGCTTTGGTTACGGAACAGTTCCTGGCATACACGGAGAAGGATCGGCTCTGCTGTTGTTATGTTTCAGTATCTTTGTACCTTTGCGTTCCAGGGGACGAGGACGATGAAGCGCCAATGATCACGGGCTTTTCAGATGACGTCCCCATGGTGATAGCGTGAAGTGTGCTTCGGACTCGGGGAAACCAAAATGGTGTAAATATTTTGTTTGATAAAAAAAGCAAAAAACAGTCAACTGTTTATTTTACAACAAAAAAATGCACTTTTGAGTTGCAATATGTTATTTTTGTATGGGCTGAAAAAAAATGAAGAAGATGATGATGAAGAAGAAATAATTATTACACTTTGTAGTACACAGCTGTGAACTTCCAAACCAGGTTGATTTAGCAATGAGTATCTGTTGATGTTGTTTTAACTTTCAAAATTTTCATACTTTTGATTTAGTCTTACGAGGCTGTGCTTGCTGGGCATGTTTTTAAAGTCTGTGTGTGAGAGAGACTGTTTCTTTTCTGTTGACTGACTCTCATCCTCAGAGAACTTCCACGGCCAGGGAGAAACCCCTTGATGCTCGCTCTGTCTTTGATGTCACAGGGTGGAGCTACGTAGACATGTTGAAGGATGGAGGGCCAACAGCCGATCCGTCTTGAACTCCCTGTTGTAATGTATACTAATGGAAAGTGGTGTCATGTGAGCCTTTTAGGCATTTCCCAGCCTTTGTTCAGCTTCTGCTATAAGGCGAAAGAGGAGGGTCATGGAAGGGGGTCTAAGAATGGAGACCCCAGATTTCTCGCTTTTACCAATGCCACAGGGGGCAGAGTTCACTCATTCAGCGACAACCCCCGTCTGCAAAGGATGATCCTTAGCTTCGGGGTTCACCCTCCCTTCTAAACCAGAGATTGAAAGGGTTCGATTTTAGACCAGACCCCCAAAATCCCCCACCATGATGACTGTGTTAGCTGCAGAAATCAGGGAGAGGTGGTCCAAAACCCAAATATATTTTTCCTGCACTGCTTGTATCTTGTGTGTCTGGCCTTATATTCTGCTTCTGGACTCTTAGGTGGCATTATGGATCTTTCCCTCCATTCTCTCCCCACCCATCCCTTCTTGGATCCCACACTTGCTTCGGGCCTAATCCACCAGATAGTCCCCTCCCCCATGGTCTGAGCACCTGGCTCTTTTCAATATCCAAGACCCACAGAAGGAGCAGAGAGCAGGGAATCCTGTAAAGCTACAGTGACATGCCACTTCCATTACAATACGTTACGAGAGAGAGAGAGAGAGAGAAATTGGGATGGGCCTGTTTTTAGAGGTTGGCCTGTCTGTTCTTTGTCTGCCTCTAAATTGGAGACAAGGTGAAGGGCTGAAAAGCAGGATGGCCGTTTCATGCCAAAGTAAGCATCAGTAAAATGGAAGACAGAAGGTTATCCTGATTTGCATAACTTTCCATGTGCGAATCGATTCCAAAAATTCGAGATGACCTGCAAATTTTAAACAGAATGATGATGATGATGCTCAGTGACCAAGTGACGTGCTTGGGTGCTGCTCACAGGGGGGCTGAGGTCCATGATCTGTCTTCCTGGGGTTCTTTGTCTTTAAATCTGATTCGGCCTGGACAGCTTGTTGAATGGGGGACACCTTCAGAAGGAAGATGGCTTGATAGCCATCCTTCAAGTGGAGAACTCTCCTACGTCTAAGAGGACATGCGGCCACCCTTCTGAGCAGTCCCTTTGTGACCTTCATTTCTGAAAACAGATAAGGTGGTGTAATATAGATGGCTTCTCCATGGACTTCATGAGGAGACATTCCTTCAAATGCTGCTACAAATAACCTCCACAGATTTCTGGAGGACTTTTTAAAATTCCTTAACTAAGTCTAGTTTCTGGTTCATGAACCGATGAACTAAGAGAACCAGTTCTCTCAGGATCAGAGTCTCAAATTAGCTGGTTTTTTGTTTTTGTTTTGTTTTTCCTACAAGAGATTTTATTTTAAGACAGATATTCAGGAAATACAAATATATATCTATATATAGCTATGAAGAGAGATAATAATTCCTGAAAGTTTTACATTGACTTTTAAACAATGGTTTGGATTTTGTTTTGTATGAGGGTATATTTTTGTTTTGTTTTGTTTTCTTAATTTATTAGGAAATCTGCTTTGAGTCAGAGTTCCAGAATTTCTCAGTCATGTGCACACTTTATTGTGTGAAAGAATGTGCCACTTTAATCTTTTGCAAAGATCGTTCGTTATTTTGTGTCCTGTGGTCGAATCAGGTATTAATGCCATAGTAAAAAAAAAAAAAAGCACCAAAACACATTTTATTTTTTTCTTCTTCGAATAGTTTGACACACTTTATGAGAAAGCGAAAAAAGGGGGAAGTGAGGTAGAGTGACAGAACCAAACGAGAATGAAATATATTCTCCGTATCACTTAGCATGTGTTCATGAAAGCAAACAATGGTATATGACGCACCAAGTTTATTGTGGGTTTTTTGTTTGCTTTTCTGGTAGAATTTTTGGATAAGAGTAAAATGTGTGTTTCGGTGCTCAGAACGTTCATGAACACGCTGCTGTCTCCACTGAGATTTCTCAACCTTTCAAAACCCGTCTACCTTGTCGATGCACATAAAAATCTCTTATTCAACTCCCCCTCATTTTGTCTAAAATGGTGTAAACAACAACACATCAAAGTGTTTATAAACTAAGGAGGAGGAGAGAATGGATTTCAATACGTTTAACACGGCTGTGCGTCATTGGGAAGATCCAAGAGGCTGCATGCTAAAGGATGTCAGGACACAATGAATGAAGCCTGGGGTGTGGAATGGAACTCTTGGTGATTTCACAGAAGATCTGGTCTGATGATCGAACCTTCCTGTCTATTTAGGGCTTTGTGGGAGAGTTGGGAAGGCACTTTGAGAGAAGCCACCCCCAACAGCCTAGCTTGACCTTCAGTCTCTTTCTACTGGGCATTGGGTGGTCTGTTCTCCCTCTTGTAAAGGCACTAAAAAACCCACAGTGGATCAGGAGATGGCTGCAGGGGTACAGCACTGAATTGCTAGCCATGGCGCCATAATGTTTCTCTGCTCTGAGGTTTGGGAGGGGGGCCTGAGTGCAATGCAGTCTTAGATGCAGAAGCACCAACTATTGGATTGTGCCTCAGGCTTTCCCCTCCCAGCCTTTGACTCATTATTGTCAACACAAAATTCATATATAAAATATGCAGCTAGCAGTTAGGTGTTTATAACAGCTTCCTTCAGCTTACTTTAAATGCCATTAGATTAATTGCAGATTTCCCATTACCTTTCCTTCCTGATGCCCTGGTGACATTTTCCCCTCACCTGGTTGATCATTCTTGGCTGATTTTTGTTTGTTTTTTTGAGAAAGAGCTCTCATTCATTCCAAACATTCCTCAGTGGCAGCTGTTGATGGAACCTCTGTGTTTGTATGCGCCATGTTACCTGGTTTCTTGATGCTGCAAATTCAGCTATGCAGAGTTTGGCTCCAAAGTCAGTGTCAGGTAACCCTCTGCCTTTATGTTTGCATAAGCAACAGTGGAACTTCGACAATGCAAAACAGTTAAGCAGTAAAAGCAAGGGCTCGCGGAAAGACCTGTGTTACCTGCAGTCACCAATGGGATATAACCTGGTTGTTCTCTCTCTGTTTGCCTTCTGAATTGGAAGCAGATAAGGCTCTGGAGAGGGGTTGGTTTCCCTGACCTTCCATGAACAGGATGTAGACCGTCCATGGGCCAGAGTTCCAGTTATTGATGATGGCTTCATTGACAATGGAATAGTCTCTCTCTGTTTTTTCTTCTCTCTCTCTGTCATCCACACACACTTACAAACACAGAGTGATGAATGTCAACATTAGCATAAAGGGACAGAAAGTCCTCCCAAACCAGTTTCCCAGTATGGTGTGTTGTGGATGAAATAGTCTGTGTATTGAGATCAGTCCTTTTCTTAGCTTCATGGTGGATTCTGGGAACTGTCGTCCAAAAGATGAACTTCTTTTCACTTTGCAACCCACCTTACAATCCCCAAAATGTTAGGATCCACAGAGCTAAGGCTTCAGGACTGTACAGATTCACATTATCATGATTTTATTCCAGGGGCACCTCATGAAACTCTACATCCAAACTTTGTTTTAGAAAGATGCATTAGGGAGGGTCATTTTGAAAGTCTTTCTTGGATACCATGCTTTGTTTCCAAAGTTGGAAGGGAAGAATCCCAAAGCAGATCGCTTGCTTCTTCCTCCAGTATAAAAGAAGTGGACACTGTTTGTTGCTGCTGCTGTTTGTTTGTTTTTTGTGTTTTTTTGTGTTTTTTAAAAAAAGACTGCTTTGATGACCTTCATTCAAGCTGCTGTTTGTTTGTTTTTTGTGTTTTTTAAAAAAAGACTGTTTTGATGACCTTCATTCAGTTTGAGCCTAGAAGAAACCATGGAAAAACTAGAATGCGGAGAGCACACTTTCATTTTCAATGAATATTTCCGGGAGGAATTCTGCTGAAATGAAGTTATTGTCTGTTGTCCCATCAATGACAGAAGTGTAGAGTCCCATGAATCACACATTAGAGCGCACAACTTTACTTGGAAGTACTGGAGCCTCATGTTGAGAAACTTCAGGACCTCTTGTGGGAATTCTCTCTTTTCTTCCATGCAAAATGAAAGAACGGCAAGCTCAGAGTGGGCTCTACAAGATGTAATTCCCAATAAAATTGTGGGACCTCCATTTGAAAGATTCAGCGAATATTTGATGAAATTAGTTATTTACTCATTTATTTGATCACTTACCTCCTGCTTTTCCTCCAGGGAGCTCAAGGCATGGTGTGTCCTCACAAGAGCCTCTGAGGTAGGTCAGACTGTGCCAGGATCAATCTGTGGCCATCATGGTTGGGTGGGGACTAGAACTTTGATTTCTCCAACTCCAGTCCAACCTTCCAGCCCCTACTCCAAATGATGGGTGCCAACCGGTAGCAGTTTTCGAGAATTTTAAACATCTGGTCCTGGATATACTATGCAACAAAGCATGTACGGTACCACTGAATTATAGCACTTGATTTAAAATAAACTAAGATCCCAGGCTCCGTGATTCATAAAAGGCAGTTATTTTAAGTAGAAAGCTGCTTTGGACCAACTCAGGCTGGCATGGAAGGAGTATGCCCCCAATTTTACAAGCTCACAAATATATATATCTGAGACCAAACTAGAGAGGTCTCCAGGGCAAAGTGGAAAATTTGCACCAGGTAGCAAAATCTGGAAGAGTCAAAGAAAATTAAAGAATTCACAGTGTAATTAAGGAACAGGAAAGCCATTTTATACATCGAGAATACAGGAGGAGGAAATTAGGGTTTTTTTTCCAAAAAATTAGGCATGTATGTTGCACAAAGGGGAAAATTAACCAAATAATTAAAGGACCAAAAACTGCAGAACTGCTAGATAGCTCAGTGGTTTAGGTATGTGGCTGTGGAGCCAGAGGTGGGGAGTTCGATTCCCCACTGAGCCTTCTTGAATACGAACTGGACTTGATGCTCTATCGGGTCCCTTCCAGCTCTAAGATCATTATTATAGAAAAGGGCTGCTAAAGAAAGAGCAGCAAAGGAGTGTATCTTATTAAGATTAGTGGTAGATGAGCCAAGGGATTAAGGAGGAGAACAAAGAGCCAAGCAAGGCAGACAGAGAAGGGGCAAGATTGCGGAAATAGAAAAACAAACAAAAGGAATAAAATCATTACCTAGTTTACCACCCACTCCATACTGAGAAATCTCACTCCAAGGAGGCAGAAAGACAGGCATCGACAGATGTTGCTGGAAAATACTTGATTATGCTCGATCAGCTGGTTGCGAATATTTGTGGAATATTCATTTAGCAGAGGGGGGAGGGCAGGATTCAACCCTTTGTTAATGAGCAAGTGCTCAAGACAGCCTCATTGGGCTCTCCACCTGCACTCTAGGGCACACGAGCTAGCCCTTCCAGCCTTCATGGGTTTCGTTTGGATCAGGGCCATCAAGGGGCGTGTCTGTGCATCCCGTATAAAATTAGCAGTTTGGGATTCTTAACAAAGAGAGAGAACATGTTTATGTAAACATTGCATGATGCACTTGGTCTTGTTACAGTCTTCTGAATCTAGAAAGTGAAAACGTGGGTTCTTTTTAAGAAGAAAAGTAGGATGAAAATATTTGAAATGAATGAATGTTGCAACAATGGCTTCCAGCCTTGCAGTGGTCAAAAGGTGGCCCTCCTGATGGTTCAGGAGAGCAGCTCCATCACTAAAATAGTCAGTGGTGAGAGACGATTGGAGCTCTTGTCCACCAACATCAGAAGGACCATCTCTTCCTCATCCCTACCTGAAAGCCCAGTTGATCCCAAATTCTGTTCTTTGCCTCCTTGTGTATTTTTGGGTCACTACCAGTGTCCTTGGCATCTCTTTCTGTAGAGACCCAACAGCTTCCTTGACCGTTTCCAGTTTCTGAGAAATGGACTGGCGTGTACCAGTGAATTTGATCAAAAAGAGCGTCTTTGCAACACCTTGACAATTGTTCTACTTTTGTGGAATTACACAAAAGTCCAGCCCCTGTCAAGGAGGCACAGTGGAGAACTGAACTCCCAACCTCTGGCTCCACAGAAACCAAGCCATTGAGCTAGCCAGGAGTCAAACTGCACACGTTGGCCAAAAACATCCTGCAAATGAATGCAAGATGGCACAGAGTTAAGACAGTTGTTATTGTATGAATGCAAGATGGCACAGAGTTAAGACAATAACAATAACAAGGTGGAAACATCTCCTTGATAACAGTTTCCTGCTATGGGTTTTTTTTTCTTTTTGCTGTTGAGGTTGTAGGGTTTTCACAATCCTGGTGGCACAAATAAAGTCTTGGCTCAGGAAAAAAATTGTGTGTGGGCTCTTTATTTTTGAAAGTCTCCTTAAAAAATTTCAGCCCCGAGTAAAACATTAATGAACTGCAGCATTGCACTTAGAAGATGCCTGATCCGCGGAATCGCATGCATGCACCAAACTCTGGTTTTGCCTTCCCAATTAAATTTGCTGCAAACACACATTTGTGGAGTTTGCTCCTTTCTCATTATCTTGATCCACAGGGGAATACCTTGCTTGTCTTCTTCCCAGCCTTGTAGGTGTCCAGAACATTTGCATGTAGTAAATTACATTTCAAAGCACCGACAACAAGGTTGTCAGCTTAGGGAAGAGGCAGAACACAGGCAGAAGATTGCAGTGAAAGCCCATTCAGAAAAAGGTGGGTGGAAAGAAGATAAAGGAAGCAGCCATATCCTGAACCAGAATCTTTCTTCCACCTAGCTTGCTAAGGCCAACTCTGACTGGCAGCAATGACAATCTAGGGTCTCAAGCACGCCTTCCTGGAGATTCCTCAGAGGCCTCCCATCCAAGTGCTGTCAGACCCTGCTTAGCTTCTGAAGTCAGAAGAGCTCAGAAATGTTCGTTTGGAGATCTTGGGCCTATTGAAGATGTGAAAATGTCTTCTGGACCACACAGTGGTGGGTCTAACATTGCACTAGTCCCAATGTACTTTTCCTTAAGATTAGTGGTTCCCATCCTTGGGCCCCCAGATGTTCTTGGAGTACATCACCCAGAAATCCTGGCCAGCACAGCTTCTGGAAATTTTAGTCCGAGAACATTTAGGGACCCAAGGTTCAGAACCACCGGTCTAAATGGCTACCAAGGAAACCTATGTTCTTGTTTCTCACTTGTACATGCGACAGCATTGTCTCCGAGCTCTGAAGAAGGATGTCTGGAATGGAAAAATGGGTTGTAGATGTCTGGGCCAGAAGCTGAAATGAAGAGGTTGTGTCTACTGGTCATCACTTCAACAAAGAGTCTTATGGCACCTCGGTGATGAACAAGTTTGATTTGCCGTCAAGAACTCCATCTCATTGCTTCAGCTGCAGCTCCTGGAAGTGGGCTGGAGACGATGAAAGCAAATGAAACTTGGTGGTCTCAAAGGTGGGACAACGCTCTTTATTGTCTCTGTTGCAACCATAGATGCTGCTGAATTCAGCTGTCCCAGCAAGCTCAGGGACCCCATTTTTATTTTGGCACATGTGCTGATCTTCCCAATTCTGCTGTTTTGGCCTTTGGTGAGTTGAAAAGACAGCTCTGAAGTACATAACACACTTGTGATCATTATATGAGAAAGAAGGTTTTGAAACAAGCAGAAAGGGAGGACCCACTTTATTGGGATGGATAATAAAAGCAGTGATATGTGCTGAAAGTGGGTATCACATAGCCTATTGAATGCAAAGCCTGTGGGAATCTGCTTTGTAGTGGTTGGGTCCTAAAACTCTCTCTGACTCTCTGTCCATCTATCTCTGTCTTTCTCTCTGTCTCTCTCACACACAAATAACTGGGTGATCAGAAAGAACCCTTCTAAGTCAAGTTCATTATCTGATAGACTGGCTGTCGAAACCGAGAGACAATTCCAGCAGGTGGCGCTCTGGAGCAAGCAAAAACAAAACCCGGCTTCTCCTGTGAATGACAAAAAACAGATGTACTTCACCTTAACTCTTTGCTGACTTCCATGAATTTGCCTACCCTCCGTTCCTTTTCCTTTCTCTGTGTTTCCTTGCTTCTTCCTACGTTACCGGCTGTGCTTGTCAAAAATGAAATTATGTGCGCAAAATAGCAAAAAGGCAGGAACCTAGTTTCTGGAGCATTATTCTGCAAAATGCCATATGTGTTGGTAATGCACTTCGATCAATGTAAACACCTTCTCCTGATTTCTGTTGATTAAACGCACACTCCTAAAACGAGCCATATCGTTATTATTTTATTGCCTTCCCACTCAGGCTAAGGTTACAACTCTGCCTCCAAAAGCGGCTTACGTAATAAAATAGATCCAGATCCAAAATAATTTCTGGAAAATTATCAACAGAAATATGACACTTTTTTTTTCTTAAAAGAAATCCCGATATGCAATAAATCAACAGCTGACCACAGAGCCACCGACAGGAAGAAAATGAATCATGGCAAATTTTTGGAAACAAAACAAAGCAGAAATGTATATGCCTAGTATCTAACAAAACAAAGCAATACATTGAGGGAATGGAAACTCAGGTTAAAATCACAACCAACCAAGCACACAAAAGAATAGTATAATCCTAATACGTAGCGATTGCAAATTTAAAATAATCAGGAGGAAAGAAAAATGCAATCTTTTAAAACACCTTTTCTGCTCGAAAGTTAGCCTTAAGTGAACAAAAGGGTTGGAACACACAAGATGGAGGGATCTTGACATTGCATCTGGTTCTGCAGGACGCAATGTACTGCATTAAACCGAACCCAGTT